CCTTTCGTTTAATATTTTACAAGATCTAACTCTGATGTTGAAAGGGACAAAGACAAAGCTCCTAAGGTTTAGGAATCTGTGTATTCCTTTTTGTATGCCCCTAATATTCATTTACTTTGTGTAATAGAATATTATTATCAATTTAGGATGCATTTGGTTGCACTTGCATTTTATAGTTTATTGTAATGTCAAGATTGTATTTTGGGCTCTAAGTAATTATGTATGATAAGTTATATAAGTTGATGGGGCCAAAATACTAGTGCAAGTGTAAAAATTATGGTTTTAGACATGATATGATTGATTTTTTTGATGCAACGCAATGAAATTATCTTTTCTTTTTGTTTTTGATATAAAAGGGTCTGAGGAGTGATTTTATGTTATAATAATATTTGTGTGCAAGTGATGTGTTTTACTAGTAGTCTTAGGTCCAATAAATATGATCTCGGTGTTAGGAATGACTATTGACACTTATTTTGGGATTTGAACATTCTTTTATATGTGAAAGTTGTGAAAGATGGTGAAAATATATTTAGATGTTCAGCTTCATAGTGTGATATGTTTCGAAAGTGAAACCTATGTCATTAATTAGTTTATGACAAGAGCTTTTAGTAGACACCTAGACCATGTCATTCAGACATCGAATGGAGATTTGGGGCACATTGAAAGTTGCCCAATTCTATTATCATTTGATAGCAAAATCTAAAGTCATAAAAACATGCAACACACCACGGTGCATGATGCCTGAGCCGTGACATGTGGCATAGAGACCAACAAGCTATGGCGCAGGGTGCACGAGCCATAAGGCATTGCTCTGTTTTTCAACAAATTTGATGTTTTTCAACTATTTTCAATTTCTTTTACTCGTATGAGGTATCACATGCTTTCGTAACTAAATTTTACTTTGAGTTGAGAGTTAAAGAATGGATTTGACTCATTTTAATTTATGAAAACTTGAGATCCCTTTATTTGAAATTAAAACTTAGTAATTTCCATAATGGGTAATCCCTTAATTATCATAGATATGAATTGTTAATTGTGATCAATAGAGAGGATATACTTGTTAGAGTGTTTCAACATGCGTAAAATGCATAACGATTTGGATATTGTCTTAGAGAGAAGATCGAAAATCGATATATAAAAAATAAGTAGTCATCTATAAATTTATAAAATGATAATTTGAGTTGTTAGTATTTAACAAGTAATTTATAAGTTATAAATGAATATTTATAAATAACAATATTTAAATTATTAAATATGAAAATATTTAATATTTAAATTATTAAATTTGACAATCTTTATTAAATTTTATTTTAATAAGATTTCAAGGTACCTAGTGCTTCTGAAAAAAAAAAACTTTAAGGTGCCTAGAATTTAAGGGTAAATTAGCATGAAAGGACATGATTAGAGTCTTACTTGTTACTGTACATAGGTCCCACGTACATGCCATGTCAATGGAAAACAGTAAAGTTAATGGCATCTTAACATAAGGACATGTTTGGACCTCAAAAAAATATTTCAAGGAAAAATTGTCCTACTTAAGAGTATAAGATATTCAATGCTTCCAAAAAATAAATACAAAAGCAAAATTGAATCTTAACTCAAATTTTTAATATGTATTCCAGCTATATTTTTGTAAACGTAGCCCTTTCTCAACAAATTCATAATATTAACAGCCTCAATATTTATAAATTAAATGCTTTTTAAATTTTAGAACAATAAATTGTTAGTAATTTTTTCAATAAACAAAAATTACACGCATCACAAAAAAGTGTTACATGCATACACACACATTATCCATATAATGTTTAAGACTAGATATGTTTAAGGTCGAACCCAGTTAATTACTTAGATGGCGAGAATTTCTATCACTTACGTTAACCTTGATTAATTGATAAAACACTAATAAAACTCCTACCCAATAATATAATTTTATATATTTAAGAAAATCATCAAAACCTAATTTTTAAGTGAATTGAATCGAACCAAACCAAATTACCTAAAACCCAACCAAAACAACTTCAATTAAAAACTTTTCAAGTGTCATTTTTTACAAATTGATTGATTAGGCTTGGTTTAGGTTTTGCCCAAAATAGAATCAAATTACATCTTTGAACATTCTTATTGAAGACTATTTTTTTACCATTAACTTTCTATAAAATTATTATCATAACAATTATGTAGACTAAATTATATCATATTGAAGATGTTATGAATTTTGAGTCAATGGATGCTCATTTTCTCCCATCAATGCAAGAGAGTATGTGTGCGTATTCAGCCTGTTCAAAAAATTATGTGCGATTTCAGTCAATAACATATTATGTTATCCATTAATAAAATTACATGATAATTATATTGATCACCAAAAAAGAGTTATTTGCACCAAATTAAAAATTAAGCTTGATGGTTTTCTTTGTCTGAAAAAATAAAACTTAGGAGGTCCCTTATTAAATTTCAAAAATTAAAGTGTTATTCACGCATAGACAAAAAATTAGTGATATTTTCTATAATTTTTTTATGAGTTAATGAACATTCTGAAACTTGAAGTATTACTCAAAAAGTACCTTGGATCTTAAATTTTTAAAATATATAAAATGGATCTTAAACTTTTAAATTCATTATAAATTACTCCACCGTTATCTTTTTCTTAACACCATTATTGTTCATTATGAGACCCAGTCAAATGCTGACATAGCAATCCCTTATTGATATGTCATTTATTAATTAGTGCCACAGGCTCTAAACTATTACTTGAGTAGCATCCTAAACCCTGAACTTTGAAATTTTGAGTAAATTATCCCACCGTTTATGTATAAAATGTTAATTATTATACAGATCAAATTAGCCTTTAACATGGTCTACCTGGTGAATGCATCGTTGGTCGGCTGAACGACCTATAATTTTGTAAAATAATATTTTTTGTATCCTTTTTTGTAATATTTTTCAAACTGTTAGTATCTCATATTTCTACACACTCTGTAACTTTGATTTAATCATATTTGAATAATTTTTATTTATTTAATAGTAAAAATTTGAAATCCCATTTGAAAAAAAAAGTTTAAATATCAAAGGATTTTAATTAATTGGTTAATTTGAATTTTAAATTCGTTGATGAAATTGTCAACTTTCATATCTATTGTCTGTAAAATCCTCTGATACTTAAGCTTCTTTTCAAATGGTATCCCAAATTTTCATAATTAAATAAATAAATATTATTCAAAATAAGACTAAACTAGGGTTATAAAATATATGGAAGGATGAGATATTAATCGTTTAAAAAACATTACAAAAAAGAGGCAAAAAATGTCATTTCACAAAATTATGAGTCATTTGCCATAGCCAACAATGCCTTCACCGTGACGAACCATGCTTAGGCTAATTTGATCTATATAATAATCAACATTTTATACATAAACGATGGGGTAATTTGCTCAAAATTTTAAAGTTTAGGATCCATGACACTACTCACACAATAGTTTATGGTTTATGGTACTAATTAACATATGACATATCAGTAAGGGACTACAACATCAACATTTTGATTGAACCCCATGGTGAACAATATGGTGAACAGTAACAACATTAATAAAAAGATAATGGTGGGGAATAATTTGCTATGAATTTAAAAGTTTAGAACCTATTTTGCACATTTTAAGGGTTCAAAGTTCAACGCACTTTTCATGTAATACTTCAAGGTCTAAAATGTTCATTAATCTTTTTTTTTATACAACCCAATTAAGAGTACTATAATAAATTTGTAAATTTTTTTATATTGTTTTATTATTCATAGATACTTTCTGTTGAGCAATCTTATTTGTAAATAATTTTAATTATTATTTACAAATTATAAATTACAAAGAGGAAAAATGATAGAAAATTCTCCTAAAATATGCAAATGACAATTAGGTCCCACAAAATGTCATAATTCTTCTTAAATCGATAGAGACCTTTTTGAAATTAATAATTTTTTGGAGAAATGACTAAAATGCTCCCATCTAAAATAAAAAAAAATGTAGCAACCTTGGCCCTAAAAAAAATAAATATCAATGACTGCTTATGTTTAAGATATAACTATTTTTTTCCAGTAATACTAGAATAGCACAAGCAATTATAATTTTTCTTGTGTAAATTTTTAATTCACAAAATTTTAAGTATTGTAAATATTGATGACTACTTTAATTTAAACAATGATTATTTTTTTTCTAACAATGACTAAAATAAAAAAGTAATTATAATTTTCTTGTGTAAATTTTTTATTCAGCGAAGTTCACGTGTTACTACTTTAGTATAAGTAAGGACTACTTTTTTTTGACAATAATTAAAGTAGAACAAACAATTATAATTTTCTCTGTACAAATTTTTGATTTCCTAAAGTAAAAGTGTTATAAATATCTATGAGACTACTTTAATTTAAGTAAATATTATTTTTTCTTCTCATAATGACTAAAACACAAAAAAAAAAAATTACAACATTCATTGTGCAATTTTTTATATTTTAAACTGGACTTTTTTTTAGTAATTTTACCAAAAATTTTAATGTCAGAAAGCTTTTTAAAGATTTAAAAAGAATTATAATATTTTAAAAAATATTGCTGTGATATACACATTTCAAGAAGATTTTCATGCCATTTTAGTTGCCCTTGTAAATAGTATGACTTACTTCCTCCATCCTTATATATAAAATATTTTTATTAATAAAAGTTTGTTGTGTAGTTAAAATTATAATAATTTTTTAATTTTATCCTTAATAATATGACAATTAATAATATGATAATGATGGAAAAAATATACAATTAATATATCTTCTCATTTTTAACATAAAGATAAAATTATTTAATTATTAAAAAATATTATTGACAAGATAAATAAATTTTTATAAAATATATGAGAATGAGAATATCTCTTCCATTAAAGGCCAGAATTTAACTTTTCTTTACATATTTTAACCCTAAATACTATTCACAGCTGATCCTACCCCCGCCACGTTGATCTTCTTCGGAGTAACTGAGGAAGGATTGCATTCTTCTGTTTTAATTTTCATTTTCTTTCAATTTTCTTGCGCCTCTGTCGACTGTCGTCACTTCTTGACTCTGTTCAGTGACCGAGGCAAACAAAAGGGGTTTGATTTCATTCTGGGAGCGTCCACCGGTTTACCATGATTGTCAAGCACAGTTTATTGAGGCACATCCCAACTGGGTAGTTGGTCCCTTCTGTTCATCGTTTTCCTTCCTTTTCGTTTAATTCTTCTATTTCTCTCGTGCTGTTGAATTGACTTTCTAAAAATTCTAGTGTATGCTTTTCTCTATGAAATTTTTGTTGCTGATGCTGACCTTCGGATTTTTTCTGTTACATTTGTGAACCCTTTTTCTCAGCTCCATCTAACTTCTGCTATGAAATAGTTACTCTGGCAGCTACTGTATCCCAGTTTACTTGGTCATTTGCATAATTGTAGGGATTGCAACAATTTCTTTTGAATACAATTTTCTTTCTTCCTTTCTTACTTTTCTTCGTTTGAATAAATTCCTCTGGTTTTTCTTCATGGTATGAAGTATTGCAATTTTTCTGCATTTGAAAAGCTCGTGGGTTCTTGTTTCAGTACTAATGTTTAATGTTGGGAAAGATTAGAACTTCATGAATTTACTTGAAGAGAAATTATCAGGATACATGTGGCGTCTAGAACGGTTTAAGGAAAAAAGATAAGGATATTCAAAGAAATAATCAAGCTTTTAAATAATCGGGAAGAGAATTATATTAATTTGCTATTTCGGATCCGGAGAACAAGTAACTACCCTCTGGGCCATAACTTCAAAGCATGCCCTGATAGAAATATTTCAGTACGGTTGCCATCTTCCATGAGGAAAGTACCGTGCTACTGTATTTAGAGCAAACCTACACCGTTGTGAATAAACGGCTTTTTTCTGACTGTTGGTGGATTCTTTTTCTACATATCCAGTTAGCAACATGCCGATCACATTTGTTCAATTTTGTGTTAATTATTTATATTGGCCTATATTAAATGATAGCTGAGGTTGTTATTCATTGATAATGGTCCTTTTTATCTAAACCCTTTTTTGGGTCCCGTTAAACAATGGATAGCAATCACAGTAATACATATCTTGGATATTTATTGCCGCGAATAAATTTCTATCATCATTTGGCTTACCAGAGGTCCAAGGATATCATGTTGCTCCTATGTCTCAAACCGATGCCTTAGTACTCTTCTCTTTTGTAGGCTCCTCAGCAGCTGACGACAGGGAACAGAAAGTATGATGCCAGAGCATTTCAAAGCAAGCAGGCTTAATAGCAGTGGAGAAAATTAAGATAAACTGCATTTTGCGGTGCTATGATGAATGGAAAAACTGAAATCGGTACTGACTTCTGGGTGGGGCAATTTAATGGACAGGTTTATACACCAACGAGATCGAAAAGGAAAGTCAGATCAAAGAAGAGGGAGTACATTGGGTGGGGATCGACACTACTAATTTCATTTCTTGAATCAATTGGTAAAGATACTAGCAAGCCATTAACTCAATATGATGTAGCTGCTGTTGTAAATGAGTATGTTGTGAGGAATAACCTTATTCATCCTCAAAAAAAGAAAAGAATTGTTTGTGATGAAAGGCTCCATTCACTGTTCGGAAGGAAAACAATCGGCCGAGTCAAAATCAATGAGATGCTGGAGTCACACTTGGCTGCGAATTGTGATGAATCTTCTGAGGATTCTTTATTAAACTCAGAAGATGATGAGAACACCTTGGCAACGTGTGAATCCCCAAGGACAACAACATCAGAGAGTAAGACTCTATCAAAGAAAAGGGTTTCAAAAAAACCAAAGAGTTGTTTTGCGGCCATCATTCCTGCTAATATCAAGCTTGCATATTTGAAGAAGAGCCTAGTTCAGGACCTTCTTAAAGACCCTGAAACTTTGGAGAGTAAATTAGTTGGAAGTTTTATTAGAATAAGATGTGACCCAAATGATTATCTTCAGAAGAACTCCCACCAGCTTCTGCAAGTTACAGGTACTTCGTTTGTTGTGTGGTAGGGCATCACATATGTATATATGCTCCTACTCGAGCTTTTTAAATGTACAAGTTGTTTCTAGAATTATCCCCGGCATGCTTCTAGAATGATCCCTCCAAACGCAGTGGCATGGCATTTGCTTTCTGAAAAATTAACGTACTTGACAAGTTATTTTAAGAATTGGAAGCCACTTATTAAAAGAAGCCTATAACTTAATCATAATCTTATGTTCTTGTCTACATATTTAATATTATTCTTTGACAGTAGATGTCTTTCATATAGGGTTAATAAATTCAGGTTATCTGGAGGCTTAATTGACCATTTTTTTATTATTTACAATGGCAATGAACTAATTGAAGTTATCATTCTTATATTTCATAGTTGTAAATTCAAGATGATAGTACTTGTATAGATCTTAGATCCATTGTACGCCACCTGTTTGCTCTGTGTAATCATTTCCATTCTTCCTTTAAAGGATGTCCATCTGGAAGAAATGAATATCTCCTCAAAGCTGTTGTCTGTTATCTACCTTCTTCGTTGGCCATATGTTGTCAGCACAGAGGTGCTAAGGCAAGCCGCTAAGCAGTTCTAGTGTCTCTTAGGTGCGCCTTAGCTGCCTTAGTCATATGAAGGATTTTGACTTGAGTAGTGCACACTTTTTCATATTATAAATTTAAAATAACATTTAGGTTATACTTTCTCATTTTTTTTTTCAATTCAGATAACTAATATGATGGGCTTTTAGGTTGTTCTTCTATGTCTTAAAACAATTTTTTGAACTTGAGTAGTGTATTTTGTCATTTGTGCTGCTACATTTAATAGTCTTTGTCCAAATGTCATAATTTTTCAAAATTGATGTGAAGGTTTCTTTCAAATTATTTTTTATCTATTTTTTGTCTTTGCATCATTTTTTTTTTATTGTAGTGCCTTGATTCACTTGAGTGAGCGCCTTTCTAGCATTTCCAGGGTTTTACAAATATGGTGCCTTAAGAGCGTCTTTCACCTTTGTTAGGTGGTAATCGGTTAATAGACTATTTCCAATGGAGTACCAATTACCAAACAACCTATTCCTTGGGCAAGCTAGATGCCTGAGGCTCAAACATTGAGCTGAACTAAGATTTGTTGATGAGAGTAAGTAGTAATTTAAAACAATAGGGATTCTTGTTGTTTTTATTATTTTGATGAAAGAAAAAGATTCTTACTCAAACAAGGCAGAATCAATAAAAGCAAAGATGATCCCCTCAAAATGAATCTTACCAAAACGCATGATTTTCCTTATTAAAAAAAATTGCATATGCCAGTTACAAGGTTTTGGACATTTTGATGATTCACATTGATAGCATGTTACCATGTTTTAATATAGCATATCAGTTCATAACATTAATTGCATTTTATGTTTGTAGCCTGAATAGCACAACTATATACCTAATGTCAAAAAGAAGTTGTTGAGTGAGCCAAGGATGGTTTCGTGCACTGATTGGATATTGGAGTCTTAAGAATTCTTAATTATGCTCTGCAGATTTAAGCCCTCTAGTAAAGATAATTGTCAGTTCATATGCCTCTCTTTAAAGATCTGTTGGTGATCACTATTTATCTGTGCTTTTCGTTGATGATTCTCAATTCTTTGATAAATTGTTTCATGTTGCATGCTAAACGCCATTTGTTTATGCGCTTCACATGCACCAGATATTTATAATATAATTCTCCCTGGCTATCCTTTAGGTATAAAGAAGTGCCCTGGAAAGAAGGATGTGAGTGGGGAAATTCTCCTTCAAGTTTCTGGTTTCTTTAAAGATGTTGGCATTCACATGCTTTCTGATGAAGACTTCTCTGAGGTATGACTAATATTTCAATTTTGTTTAAAATTTTACTTAGCAAAAATGGACTTATGTACTAGGTCAAAAGTGTAAAATTGCTTCTAATGTGCATTTATTGGAGACATGTTGCAGCTTATGTTGTTGCTCTACTTCACTATGAGATTTATCATGTTCCAGAACTCTCTACATTAAATTTGATACTGAACAGTAGACAAAAAGGGAGGAGAGTGAGCAGGGCAATGAATGATGGTGGCAGGGAAAAATTGCAATCAATTCAAAATGGTCTCTATGAAGGGATCCCATTGTAAGAAAATAAAATAAATAACAACTCAGAAAATATGTAAACAAATTAAAGTAAAAAATTACATAAAACTAAAATTTGTCTAAACTAGAGTTTCCTTTGCCTAGAATAAGTTTTGCATGACTTCCCACTAGTCTATTAAGTTTTTCCTTGAAAGCTTTTTTGGTGTATATTATTGGTTTTGGTTTCAGGAGGAGTGTGACGATCTTTGTCAGAGAGTGAAGGGTGGCTTGCTCAAGAGGCCTATGATTGTGAGTTTTGTTTTTAAATTTCATTACTTTTAAAACAGTGTAGTTTCTGCTATCCCACAGAACAATATATTGCTTTGAATTATGGATTGCAAGGAATAAACAGCACTGTCTATCTTTCCAAATGAAAGGTTGTTTACTCTTGAACTATGGCTTCATTAGGTTTGATTTGATTGTTAAATGTTAACCTCATCAGATATCAAACAAGCATGAGAAGATGTTTGTATAATCTGTTGAAGAATCCTCTCAATTGAATTCATTCAAACCTGGTAATTGGGTCTTGAGTTTTCTATTAGACAGAAAACAATCAGTGTCTTGTGCTGCATGTATGCCTTTGTAATGTGATGCAGTCATAGTGAATATCCAACCTCTTTCTCAGGGGTACCAATTTGCAATTTGAGGCTATACTGGGACCTTATGGACCCTGGAATCACACACTGCTCAAGGGATCCTGAGGGTTAGATCCTCCTGAAAACAATATAGCAATTTGAGCTTTTGACCACGAGTACTTCTGCTAGCTTATCCTTGTCTGCATTAAATTCCTTTGGATGCTCCTGGATTCCTTCATTGTCTAAAGAGATGTTTAGACCCTACCAATGAACATTTAACCGTTGGTGAGGACTAGAAGGATCTGAGGAAGGAACCAGATCCCCTGTTGGAAGCTGAATATACTTCAAAATTAATTTTAGCTAGCTTGATCATGCTTTTGAATTTGAATACATGTGTGGGTGCATCTCTAGAATGTGACAAGAAAGTATAATGGAGTAAATTTTACATGTTTATCCCATAATGTCTAGGACAAGTCTCCTTTCTTCTAAATTTACACTGTACTATCTTTTATGATGTGAAACTGGTGGATTTTTTTTGGTCCATGCCTTTGTAGGTTTGTGATTTTATTTTTTGGCACCAACAGGGAGGAGAGCATTGAATTAAAATTGTGTTAGCCTTAATGCATCATATGCATCCCAACATTTTTTTTAGGATTAGAAAAGTTGAGATTGAAATGTTGATACATGATTGTATTACTTTTTTGATCCATCAGTTATTTTTATTCAGATCCAATGTGAAATTAATGCTACTGGTTGTAGTCTTTTTGTGAAAACTGATGATTCCCTTGCAAAGAACTATAACCATTTTCAGAAGCTAATTTTAATATTCTAAAAATTTAACTTAGACATCCTTGCTTATTGCAGTTAACATTTCTCTTATCTGTAAGATTATTTGCACTATGAAGCGTAAGTACATGGAATATAAATGACGTCACAACCTTGTCTTCTTGATTGTGTGGTTCAGGGTTTCATGACTTCAAGTGCTCTGACTAATAATGAATCTGAATAATTTATCGGCATAACCTAAATGATTTTGTACCTTCAGATTTACTGATACTATCATGGGCCCAAAAAGGTTAGGCCAGTAGGGAACTGGTTTATCAGAAATAGAATCAGGACAAAATGATTGATAATTCAGTTATTGGTAAAAATGCCGATGAGGTAGCAAAAAAGTTGGAGAAGGAATATTCTCATAACAAAGTGGGTCACATGAAACATGATCTGGTGGAGACTGGAGAGAGAAGGGAGGATGTTGGGGGTGAATATCTGGAGGGGGTATTGTGTGAGATGGAGCGATGAATTTTTGGTGGTGGTAGAGACTCTGGCCTCTGTAAAGCCGGAAAACCTTTGCTTCAACGGTTGCTTATTTGCTATGCTTTTCTTTCTTTCCTCCTTCTCTGTGATCATCTGATACTGACAGCTAGCCATTCCATTCTCTGTTTGGAGGGAATTACAGTTCAGTAAATCTATAATTGAAAAATAAACTTATTGATAAGCTTGTACAAATTGTAATCTCCAGCATTTTTCTTTTCCATTTGCTTCATTAAATAAATGTGTCTGTGCTATATGTTGTAGGTGGATTTAGAGCAGAAGGCTAGAATATTGCACGAGGATATGACAAAGCATGTGAGTATTGGGCTCATATTGCTTTCTTCTTCTTCCTCTTCTTTTTTTTGTTTCAATAGTGTTTTTATATGCGTTAATATGGTATCCTTATTTGATAAGAACAAGTCCTCCCAATCCTGTGTGGAAAATATAGTTGTTGAAATCAGAGTTTCTGATTAAAAATGCAGAATATGATTTTAGTCCCAGAAAAAAATGATGCAAATCCAGCATTTGAATTATTGTGAATTTGCGATGACCAGAATTGCTGCTTGAATCATCAGAATCATGTGAGGCATGCTGGAATGACGCAATTGCCACTGTTCTGGTGATTTATTCCTGAAAGCCTGGTTCAGGTTGGCTCATGTGGGTAACAAAGACAGGTTATTAGTGGCACATGATCCGAAGAGGAAATAGTGCAGGGAACTTTTAAATAATAATGAAAGGGACAGGTCTGGAAAGGCTTTGTTTCCGAGATAAAAAACCATTCAATATGCCACTCTTCAATAGAGGCAAAGAAGACAAAATGATAGGATCATGGGATAGAAAATGTAACCTTTTCTTGGTAGATAGAAAAGAGCGTTTGATATACAGTGACATTAAATAAATAGAAGCATGTTTTGTGAGTTCCATGTGGCTATCTCACCAGATAGAAAATGTTCTGCTTGTTTTGTCTATCTATAGTGTCGCTCTTTTGATTCTTCACCTGACTTATTATCTTTTTCTTTATGTGGTGAATTTGTTCTAGTGGCTTGCAAGGGAACTCACTATGTTGCAAAATCTCATTGAACGAGCTAATGAAAAGGGATGGCGCAAAGAATATCCTTTCCTAAGATGAAATTCTTTACTGTATTATGGTAATATCTCTCTATCTATATGTGTTAGAATGTCATAAAATGTAGTGACTGGTTAAGCATATGCATTACTTGGGTAATACAACTAGATGTGTTCTGTAAAGCATGCTTTATAGGTTATTATGTAACTGTTCAATTAGTGTGTGAATAAAATCCACGCCATTTTGACAGTTAATATATAATGATACTTGGCAGCTTCAGGAACATTTGCTTATTTATAATGTGGAGATTGAGATGAAAAAACCCGTCATTAATTTTGCAAGCCTTTTAAAATCTGTTATCTTTGTAGTGTTCAGTGTTCAGATGGATGGATTTCTTAAGTGCCTTCCAATCAAGTTAAGGGAAATAATAGCAAAAAGCATACATGGCAATCCTTTTTCAGTTTATCCTTGTTCCTGTGTTCAGGGAGTTGTCTGGCTTGCTAATGTACTCCCTCAGGTCCTATTTGTAGAACACCTTCTAGGAGTAATTTTTGGTTCAAAATGTAGGACACCTTGTAATAATTAAATTTTTTTTTCTAATTTTATCCTTTCTTGATTAACATGAAGGTATTTAATGTTGTTGTATCATGATTTAAAGTTAAGGATAAAAATGAAAATATATCTCATTTTTTATGGGATCAAGAAAAAGAATAACTTTTCTTAAGATGCGTGAAGCGGTTGAAAGTGTTTTATAATAAGAATTGGAGAGAGTATTTGTTTTCATATTGACATCTTAATATGAAAACTTGTGAGTTGTGACCTATTCAGCTTGAGCCTGTATTTTTAATTATGGTGATGGAGTGAGTTCTACAACCTATTCAACTTCTCTGAGTTGTCGCACATGCATAAGAGTAGCTTCTATGGTTCTCTGATGTAATGCATATCGGTTAAACTTTTGTTCACTCTTTCTAAATTCCTTTACATGTTTTTTTCTTTTGACCAAATTCCTTTACACGTTCATGGAAGGAAATCTCTGTTAGGGTGATGAACATTTTGCACTAAACTTATGTTTTGAGTATCATGTGTCATATCTTGAGAGCTAATTCTAGTCAAAATGCTGGAAGAAAGCTTTCCTATAAAAATCTGGATTCCTTAATTACTAGTAGGAATTACACTGGATGACTACCTACAGAGAAAGGCGAAGCTTCAGACTCTCGATGAACAGGCACGGCTATTGCAGGAAATTCCATCTGTTATTTCGGATGACATAGAATCAGAATCTACAGCACCAGATGTTCCAGAAGAAAAGATGGAAAATGGTTCACCAGAATCAATGCAGGCTACATGTAAGCAGGCATCTTTGCTGAGAGAGGTTCAAAAGGAAGTTAGAGATGCTCCTGAACCTGAAAGTACAACAACGAACATAGCTGATTGTGCAAGACATGAAAACAAATCACCTAATTCAATTCTCAGGGGATCCTCAGAGGTTATGTGTGACATGCCTGCAAGTGGAACTGCACATTCTCATGACCCGGTTTCTGCAGGTTCGTTATAAACCTTCCGCTTTTCCAAGTTTCATCTCAAACAAGCAATTCCAACATGAAAACCAAAATGAACGCGTCAGAAAATTAGTCGTTTGAATCCAAAATGCTGTCTGATTTGGATGGAATTAATTACTTTTACAAGCCATCTAACTCTATAGCTTGATCAAATATTATATTCATCCCCATCAAGACAGGGTGTGAAGCTCCGAAAGTAATAGCTAAATGTCTGCAACCTTGATGATTGTTATGGCAGTGAGGGTTTCGAACTTGGCAGGTATAGAGCAACATTGGACCTAGTCACTAATGGGTCTTTTTAGTAAGGGAAGAGTGAATTGTTCTTGGTAAACATGCAATCAAGATAAGAGGGTTTAATCCTGTCTTTGTACTTTCTACGCCTCCAATACTTGAAGGATAAAAATCGAGCCTAGTAGAAGCGGCTCTTCTAATTTTATAGTTACCAAACAATAGAATCCATCTTATATATATATATATATGGTTCAACCCTAGGCAGCCTTTCCTATCATAACAAAACGAAATTATCAAATTCAAACTTTCCCAAGGTTGAAGTCGTGTAGAGAAAACTAATGGTTACTCAAATGGGATAAGGATCCCTCTCCCAAAAGCTATTAATGTAGGAGCACCAGCCCACATACATATCCCACTGAGTATTCTTTACCTTTTAGTGTGGGACTTATGAATCTCATGCTAACAAAGTCTCTAGCAATTGGCTCCCTTGGAGAGTTGCTGTCCTGGTCAGTGCACTTTGTGACACTTCACTCGGTGACACATCACTCGACTTTGCTATAGCCCTCTATGAAATTGTTGACCAGCTCTAATTCCAATTGACATGTACTTTAGTGGGATGGGGATCTCTCCCAAAATTGAGCTATTGAAGTGGGAGAACTAACTCTCTTAAATATCTCACCAAGCATCTCAACATACACTCAAACCCCCTTGATATCATTGCTATACTTTGGCATGCTTTCGCAGAAAACTGCAACGGTATTCATACTCAACAGCAGCCAGTGCAACAAATAGACCTCTGTGAGGATGATGGTGAAGCTGGACTTGAGAAAGCTAAGGTCTCTCGAGGAACGCCGAACAAGCCGATTCCACCACGTGAAGTAATCGAATTAAGTGATGATGATGGCGAGGAAAATGAAGAACCGAGCTCTGAAAAACAGACTACTGCTAAGATGCTGGACTGGTCGATAGGATGGCACTACAGAGATCCTCGGGGCCGTGTGCAAGGACCATTTTCAGTAGATTTACTAAAACGCTGGAGTGATGCTAACTACTTTCCTCCAGATTTTAAGATTTGGAAGGCAGGTCAAAGGCCTGATGAATGTGTATTGTTGGTAGATGTTCTTCACTGGTTTTTTGCCAATTGAACAGTTGCAGAACATAAGGTATGGATACTCCAAAAAAGGAGTCTTGTGAACATTGCCTCACACAAGACTGACATCGGACAAATACCTCATGTGACGTTTGAAAACCTTAGATTTTCATTTCGTCATTGTATACATGCATCTTGTACACCAAACGATAATAATTAGTTCTTTTTTTTTTAGCCATGATAATAATAATTAGTTCAGGTCAATTCTGTTTGATCCATATGCTACGTGCAACCTGCAATCTACAATTGTATTGTTGAATTTATGCTTACTGATTGATCATGTTCTCTCTACGGTGCCTGTCATTATCTCTCTCTTATTACTTGTTTTTCCTTCTTGTTTATGTGGAACTAATAAAGATATTATTGACGTTAATTTTACTACATATCTACATGATAACAATCCTTGCACTTCCAGTATTGGTTACTATAACAAGGATAATCATCAGGTTTCTCATTGTTTTGAAATTTCTATCATCTTATTGATTATTAAAAAACGATTAGCTTGAAATAATTTTATGATTTTTTCATGTTTAATTTTAGGAAAGGGAATATATATTGTATAACTAGTATATTCAGTGTTATTGGATCAAATTCAAGTAGTATCATGCTTGATAGGAGTTGGCCGAACATGGGGATAATTTATAACTTAGTTCGTAAATTAAGCTTCAGTTAAAACATCAATAAATTCAAATCAAAAGAAAACTCTGATGGGAGTGGTAATGAACATAGAAGTGAAAGTGAAGTGAAATGAAAGTAAGTTAGAAAGGTATATTTTAGGACTGAGATAAAAAATTTTGTTTAATATTGTATTTATATTGTGAAAATATCAAAATATTCATGAAAATTAAAAGAAAAAACCACCCCCACACACATGAAGCGATTGCCCTGGAAAACCATCGTGAAGAAAGTCATGGAAAATTCACATGGAACCAGATCATGGAAAATTGTTGGAGAAATTCAGCACACATCAGCAAAGCATTCAAATATAAACTAAAACTATCATATTTCAAAAAACCAGATCTGAAAATCATGGAACACATTCGACATTCAAACACAGATTTGCAACCCAGATCTGAACCCAATTTGTGATGCTGAAGAAGAAGACAGAGCCGTAGCCGTTCTGTAGTCGGTCTGCGTTTGAATGTAGTCAAGCCATTACTGTTCGAGAAGTCGGAGCCAAAGCTTCGAGTGTTCGAGTCGGAGCCAGAGCATTGATTTGAATCAGGTGAAGACGCTGTTCGAGAAATCGGAGCAAGTGTTGACGTGCTCAGTGGAGGACCGTCGCTGTCGTTGCTGGCGTAGGACCGCCGCCGTCACTGGTAAAGGGGTCCAAAATGGAAATGGAACCCAGTTCCATAAATTGAGGCAGGCTGCACAAAAAACTGGACGGACTGGACTTTAGCCTGACTCGGAGTCTGGTCCTTTTCATGAAAAGGACTAGGTTAGGTAACCGTAGTCCGGTCTGGTCCTGTGAAAATTCGAAGATTAATAAGATTGAACTTGGTCCATAGGACTGGGAGATTGGTCCTGTTAGTCCAATACTCACTTAGCCTTTTTTTTTTCCTCTATGATGACCAATAATCTATTTCAGCTTAACAAATTCAATTAAGATAATAAAAACACTTATAATCATAATAAATCCATAATAATTTCTAACACCAAGAAAATAATATTTTAGTTACAGTACAAACTTCCAAATGATTTAAATACATAACTTTAATAAAAAATCAGAGAAAAGACCAAAAATAGACCAGAGAAAAAAAATCAGCAAAACAGAAGTAATAAAAATCAGCCCACAGACATGTTCATTCAAAGTTTGAATAGATCAAGATCAGAGTGCAAAGTGCAAGGCAGAGGCTAGGGCTTTGGCGCACTGAAGAAATTGAGAATAAGAGCAAAGTTGAGTGAGTGGCTGAGACGCTAAGTGCTGTTGAGTAACAGTGTTGAGGTTTTTTTTTATCAGAGTGCAAAGTGCAAGGCAGGATTAAGACTTTTTTTTTTTAAAGCTTATTAATTAATAATTTATAAATTAATTTTAATTATATTAAAATAATTATATAGGATCAAACCAAACCACTTAGTCCAGATGCTTGGTCTCTAGTTTGATCTTACTCGAAAATCAGTCTTGTCTTTTTGATCTTTTTGGTCCTATAGGACCAACATTTTACAAGACTGAACTAGATTGAATTGGATTTTTATGGGTCAGACAGGACTGAATAAAACCACGAGACTTTTGCACAGTCCTAAATTGAGGTATGCAACCCACTTCCATCGATTTTGACGGAACTAATTTTCATTGGATAACCGACTTCCACGATACCAAACACACTAAAATACGCTGACAAAAAAAAAAAAAAAAGGGGACGCGAGCTAAAATATGGGCTCACAAATTTTTTGTCACTAAACGAGCCACTAGTGTTTCTGATATTTTTTGTCAATTCAACGTTTAAGTTGAAATGTTGTCATTACAATCAAGCCATTAGTGTTCTATTATCACCAACTTCGTTTAAAAATTAACGATTTGATCATTAACATGTCACAGCGGCTGAGCGGCACATATTGTGATTGATGCATATCTTCTCATAATCCTTCTCTTCTTTTTCTCTCCTTGTTCCATCCCCAACTTTTAGATAAAAAAATGGATAATCAGACAAAAATACTTATAAAATGATCAGCCAAAAGCACCCAATATTTTAAATTGAGAAAAGGATAAAAATACCATAACGTTATATAAGTGGGTATAAAAGTGATTAAATCATTAACTTTGACTTAACGCCATTAACTTTAACAGTTAAATGTTGACTATGCATGCCATGTATCAATTTTTACTGACATAAATTAATAAAAGGGCAAAAATACCAATAAAGTCATCGGCCAAGAGCAAAAATACTTATAATGTTATTAAAGTTGGTGCAAAAGTGATCAATCCATTAAATCCCTTAAATGTTAATCGTTTAGCTAACACCTAAGTAGAAATTGATTATTTTTTTGCTGATATAGATAAAAAATATTTTCAAATTAAATTCTTTAAAGGTTAATCAGTCATTATATGAATAGTATGTAAGAAAATGTCATTTTAACTGAATATCAAATTAACTCACTTGTTTCTTTGTAGCAATACAAAAATTATTTAAAAATTTTGAACATGTCATGAATTAAATTGCTTAAGGTTGTAACAATGTTCTTAAGGCAGGGCAACATAGGAGGTGTGCCCAATCTCAATTTTCAATTGTGTACAACCTATCTCACTATGTTGAATCTCAAGTTTTGTAGACAAAAAAAAAAATGAGTGGAGAGGGAGGAAGGAAGTGGGTGAGAAAAGATATGTGACGATGAAAAGAAATCATATGGCATGAATTTTGATGGATTGATCACTATTACACCTACTAAAGTAACATTATAGGTGCTTATATGACAATCAATTAACATCCATAAAAATTCATTTGAAAATATTTTTTTATCTACATATGTAAAAAGAATAATCAACTTCTATTTAGTGTCAGCTAAATAGTCAATATTTACGAGATTTGATGGATTGGTTACTTTTGCATCAACTTTGATAACGTTATGGGTATTTTTACGCATGGCCGAGTATTTTTGCCCATTTACTAGTCTACATCAGCAAAGACTAACATATGACATATACAGTTAGTATTTAACAGTCAAAATTAATAGCGTTACGTCAAAATTAATGATTTAATCACTTTTACATCACTCATATAACGTTATTGGTATTTTTACTCTTTTTCTCATTTTAAAATATTGAGTGTCCCTAGTTAATTATTTCGTGAGTATTTTTACCTCTTTATCTTAAAAAAAATAAATAGTTTTGATTTAATATTAAAAAAATTTATTATAATATTATAAAAATAAATTTAAATTATTAAGACTTGACCTACATCATTCATATTATTATGAAAATGTTTTATAAATTATTTTTTATTTTTTTTAATATAGCTGTAAATTGTATATGTCAAATTTAAATGGTTAAAATTTATTTATTTAAAGTAATGTTATAATAATAATAATAATATAAAATATTACATCTCAACCAATAATTTCTGTCAATCTAAAAGTGGGATGAGATGAGAAAAAGAAAAGAAAAGATTAATTGAGAACTTTGGTGTGGAAAAGATCTTTTACATTCACAAAATAAATACAAATAACGAATTCTAAATCTTAACTTTTTAGGTTCAAGGAACACTTATGGAGAATATTTATAGATTACCAACCATTAAGGTCCTCAAATCGGCATTAAATTGAACTAACCTTTATTGGTTGCAAAATCTCGTATGGGAGGGAGATTTGATTCAAATATACATATACTGCTCTCAATTTTAAAATTTCTGGAAAACTATGAATGGTTTGGAATTTCAACAGCAAGAAAGTAAGAAATTCAAAACAAAGAAGTTAATTATTTCTAAACAAATAGGTAACAATTTCAATAATTTCAAGCCGCAACTATATGCTTTCAAAGGGATGTAGAAAATAAAAATGACATCCGTGGGGGGGGGGGGGATGCCTGAAATGCTGGGATGATTTTGGCCAATAAAAAATGATGGGATGAAAAGGAATATTTTAAAAAATGGAATAAAAAAGTGAAGTTTCTGAGAAGAGAATCACACTTCCAGCTAAAATATATAAGATATAAATAAAAAATTTAGTTAGCACAAAATCACACTACTTCTGTTGCTCATCTTCGTCAGCGTATTCAACTGACACCAGAGAGATCCTGCAACTGCAAAGCAGCTGATTTTTCCCCTACTTAAAAAATAAGCCTTCTTTCCAGCCCTTTTGCCCCCAGCCTGCAGAAGTCATAAAGATTTCATATCCTTAATATACCCCACATGAGCTCTCTCTAATAACAATTACCTGGAAAAAAGTCTATTATCCAAACTACAAACTACCACATAAATTGTAATCACCAGACAATAACATGGGCGAAAATTTATACCGTTAGAATGAAATTTCTCAAGACAAGCACGATTGTGTCCCTGGAACTGCAAAAAGAGCATAAAACATACTAAATATCAAAAGCAGAGAACAAAAGGAATTCAAGAGAGTACAACACACATATATATATATAGTAATCTCCAGATAGAATCATCACTTTAGTTCGTGTTACTGTAATTGCACTTAAGGGGTGACCAATTATGTATTCAGTGTCGACACAACGAAATAAATAATTGTCACGTACCTACTGGCACCTGTCGAGTTGTTTTCTGTCCGCAACAGAAGCTGATCACCACTAGCACAGATCATTATAAATTCCGAAACACGTCCATAAGGAATCGCAACCTGCGCGGGAAGCGTCAAGGAGATAAAGAAACTAGCTTATCTCCCAAAAATACTCTTCCATAAACACATAAACTACAGTGCAACTCCTGCTGCTGACCTTTTCTAATAAAACTTTATTTTTAAAAAAGGGCTCAAGTGATTAAGGAAGAAGGTTAAAAAAATTCCATCAACTTTTTCTGCTTCTCCTGATTCTCATTTAGCGAGAAAAATCATGTCTTTAGACACAAAATTTAAAGCTAGGCACAGAGATAATCAATAAATCTCATAAACTCCATGCAACTATACAAACTGTAATCTGAATTACCAATATACCTTCCCATTAATAACCAACTGCAATGGGCATTAACATGATGTATCTTTTCCGACATTAGAACCAGACTTCTCAATTTATACCCTCCTACAAGGCACTGACAAAATACTGATCTCCATCGAGAATATATATCATATATCGAGGAACATTTGCTGAGACGATCAACAATTTTCCATGGGATGAGATTTTGTGTTTTATAATGGAGGAGGAATGACTATGTTTGACAGTGTGCCTCTCAAGATTGCGTTTGATAAGCGGAAATCCTGATTACCTAAATCCTAAGAATAAAATATTTCAGAATGAGATGTATGACAAATTTACGATACTTGAGTAAATGAGATAGAGTATGTCATACCAAATACCAAATACTGCAACTCTAAATGTTCCACATACATCATACCCAAATGTCTTGAGAATAGACATCCAGGTACTTGGAATGTTAAAACGCTCACTTAACAATCACAACCTGAATTTATTCATCAGCTCAGATGTATCAATAACTTCACATTACCATCTAACAATCATGTTCTCACAAATACAGAATAAAGAATTGAGGAAACATACACTGACAGATGGAGAAAATTTTTCCGACACTACAACTCCTCTTGCTCCCCTGCATTTGATACTGTAACCGTGCCTCTTAATGGCCAGAGTAGCTGGTTCCCATATATCAAGATATCCAGTCTGTAAAACCAACCCGAAGATTTTTTAAAACAGAAGCTCTTCATGGAAAACAGCAAGGCAAGATTTTGCATAATGATAGAAAAGGGAAAATTATAATAAATAAGAAACAACTTTCATTAAATTACCGAAAGAGAGACTTCATAAGAAGCACGTCCACTATAGAGAGTCTTCTCAATGTGGCTCTGCATTTCAGCATCTGAGAACAAAAGACAATAACTCAATAAACTATAACTATTCTTAGGAGGATGCCTAATCCTCCCCATTTGTAATGCCTTCCTTTTTTGCTAATAACTTCTTTAAGAAAGAAAACATGACGAGATGGAGAGAAATGAATTTTCGAAAGTCAAGTACAATTATATGGTGATCATGGAAACAGTTTGCCTCTAGAACCTATTGGGACCAGGCAACAAAACATAATTAAAACGATACAGACATAATAAAAACAACAAACATAGCAGTAAAGGGATGCAAATCTACGAGCTAAGAAAGAAACAAAGTTGACTTGATCCTGTGATTATCCTTTCCGTGTAGCTATCTTACATGATGTGACTGACCATTACATTGAAATAAAGGGCCTTAGGATTTTGAACACTTCCTTGGAATGGGTTGGCAATGTCCTGAGATTATCTTTCCCCTATAACTATCTTACATCCCAGCATTAACATGATGTATCTTACTGTTTGAGGTAAACTTGGCAAAGATTGTATGGTCAACTTATCTTTGTATAGACATTTGTTTTTTTTTTTTTTATCAAAGCAAAATTTCAAACCATGATCTACAAAGAAGATCATGTACAAAGAAAACCGCAGAGGCACCTAGTGAAAGAGTAGAACGTATAACTTTGAGCTCTATTAAGAAGGTAGAGGAAGGTCTAAGAGAACACTCTTGGAAGTTGTTGAACGTGATCTCTTAATTAACAATATTTCTAAAAGCTTGGTAAATAATAGAGCACAATGGCGTCTTGCAATCCATGTAATTGATCCCACCTAGTGGGATGAAGGCTTCTTCTTGTTGTTGTTGTTGATCTACAAGATCGTTTGAGGCCATAAATGATTTATAAAACTTGCATGCTTCCCATCTTTATGCCTCTCAAGCTTTTTGGAGGTAAGTACTCGAGACTTACTTAGTTCTTCCTTTGAACCTCCACTAAGAAATACTTTTTCACATCAAGTTGATAAAGATATCAGTCCAAATTATTAGTTGCCAGGACCTTCGCTGACTGGAATTTAGCAAGTAGAGCAAAAGTTTCTGAGTATTCTTCCAGCAGGAAAAAAAAAAAAGGGTTTCTGTGTATTCAATCCCATAGGTCTGAATAAATCCATTTTGAAACTAATCTTCCTTTATATCACTTATAGATGCCTTTTATCAGTGTTTTACCTGATTTTAACCATCATCCATTCACACTCCAATATTCTTCTTCCCTTCAGGTAGTTTCACAAGTTGCCCTGTGCAACTTTTGCAGGGGTATTTAAATCTTCATGTGTTGCCTTCCTCCACTTCTCTTGCTTGAGGCCTCATGAATATTCTGTGGAACCCCTTCAATTGACACAGTAGTCAAAGAAGCTTTATAAGTAGGAGAAAGTCCATCATGAGACACAAACTGACCATCACATTGCTTAGTTAATGATGTGACTTCTTTCCGCATGGCAATAGGTCCATCTCCACACAATCATCCTCATGAAGTTTGTACCTGAATTTGAAATGGAGGAATGGTTCTTCTGCGGGAGTGGGTCAACCTCAACCTGAGGGGCTTTCTTGTTCTTGGAATAGACAATTAGGCCTGCTGGGCGGTAGCCTTCAAGTTAGTCTCTTGACCAGTAGAATTCACATGTTCAGTTTCATGGGTGACATAGAGAAGCCAAGCACAATGGGAGAGCTACGGATGGTAGGCTTTAACGCTTCAGTTCATGGTGAACAAGGACAGTTTCAGGGCAGAAAGAAAACATGTTCAGTTTCATGGCAGACTTCATAGCGTCTTGAATACAAAGACTTCAGTTTGAGAGGCCAACTCTTTTGAAAGACTCCTTTCCAAAATGTTCTTCTCTGCCTTTTCCATGGCAGGTTCTCAATTAAACTCCCAACCACTATCGCTCCTGAAATTCAGCCCTCTTTCCTCCAGAACAGGCACTCCCTCCTCATACAGCGAGAAATCCTCCTTTGGTCCCCCTTTCCACTGACCTTCCTAGCATATGGCACAGTTAGTTGATCAACTTGTCATGGTCTTCACAGCATCAGTTACAGTCCCACCAGTCATGTTTCTACCTTTTGGCTTCCTGATATAGGCTTTTGTGGTAGGAGTGGTTTGATTAATTTGAGTAATCCCATCATGTGTCTAAGAAACTCAAAAGTAAATTGGCAATCTTTTGCTTCATACCCTACTCTATCTCATATCTTGCAAAGATGGTAGAAACAAAAAGCCATTTTGAGTCATTGGACTTAAAAAAGATTAATATGGCACAGGCACTAACCACAAGTGATCTTTTTCTTATCATTTGCATAAACAGTCACAGGTTCTCCCTGCAATAACAAAGAATGCAAGTAATATTTAGTTAAATTGCTGAAGTAATTTTGTTTTTTTCTTCTGATCCTATCACTACGTAAAGACTCCTAAACATACTTCTCTAACCAAGAAAATACAATTTAAAATCATTGATAGCTGAAACTTGACAACACAAATATTCAATTATAAGAAGTTTATTAACTTTCAAGTATCATCATGCAGATCATCATCAACTAGCTTTTTCATTGCACGGATACACGTAACTGTCTCTGAAGTAAGTAAAAAGTACCTTGCGATTTCTCTCGTCCAGAGGCAGAACTTGAACGGCAAGGTATGTATCAACATCATCGGCAGTGACACGATAGTCGGGTCGCATTGCACCTATATTTTTGGTCACAAGATTACTGACTCAGGTATTCTTGTTAGAAAGGAACAAAGGAAGGCACAAAGGGTAAACATAATCTCGAACAAGAAAATACCATCAATAATATTGACAGCTCCATCTTTAAAATGCCGAATCCACTGGAAAACCAAAAGGAAGAGTACAAAAGGTAATTTTTAGCAGACAGTTATCTAACATAAAAAAATGTTTTAGGTGTTAAAAGGAATATAATTCACCTCAAAATTACAAATACTGGTGCCATTTATAGAGTATCCACATGCAAGAAGTTCCCTTCCTGGAAAAGCTTCTCCGATAATTTGGAGATCCTCAAAAGCTGGTAGAGGATCATCATCTGCATCTGCATCTGCATAAGGCATTTACTGCAAAAATTAGTGCTTTAATTAATAAACTGCTTAAAACACCCTCATAAGATGAAGAAAGGATTGATTGTAGGATGGGATAAGAGGGATTGAATGTCCAGACCACAGTTTGGATGTTTAAATGTTTAAAAGGTAACAGGGAGGGGTGAGACCACCCCTCAATTTCCAATCTACTCCAAAACGGGAGGGGTTTGAGATAGGTTGGCTTCTTCATAACATTGTATTAACTTTCTTGATCATCTCCACTTTCCTTTTCATTTGAATACAAATAATATTGGATCGCTTTTCCCATAGTCATCAAAATGTATGATTCACAATCCAAATTTTAAGATTCGCAAAGCGATAACTGTATAAACCAATGGCTGAATAAGAAGCATGAATAGGTCATCCACCATACATATTTGTGCAATTAGAGCCAGCACGAAATGAACACAATTCTACAATTCAAAAGCGCATGAGAATAACAAGTCGGCGTGCCTATATGGTATTTTTGCTGAATATCATTTATGCCTCTTATAAAGCAAAGAAAGATGAATAAATTACTTAGGAATTTATAACTAATGACCTTGTATATAGCTTAAGGTCAATTTTTTCCCTCTAAACTTTGTTAAGTTTATTGTCTTGAGCATTCTGTGAACTTGATGAGAATATAAACTTGTCATATTTTATAGTTTAAGCTAGTGCTTTTAGATTTGCAATAAGCATCGCAATTTAACAACTATGTTACCACAGCAAGCGTCCAACAGTTATTTCTATATTCAATTAGAGTCTCTCTCCCTCTCCTATAAGAGTCTCTTCTTGCTTTAGTGAGAGTTCCTCATTTCTTCCACCAGTTTTCTTCTCTCTTTAATTTCTATCATCGGTTGATTTTCCCTCGCAAAAGGAAAACTTGAGAACTATTTCTTGCTTTGCAAGACTTGGTATTTACTTTTTGTATGTTTCAAATAAAACCATGCTTTAGCCATGCGCCAAAATCACCTCACCTCTAGTTATACTTTTTTATTTTATTTGTTTTGGTTTAAATTTCCAAAGTCGGCTCTCTTCAAAACTCCCAGTCAAGCATGAAGCTGAAGGGCCAAGAGGAGGAACAAGGACCATCAATACTGGGTGTGAAAGGACGGTTACCTGAACTCCGGTTAGAGGAATTTTCTCTTTCATTCCGATTTGCATCTCCACTATGAGCGTTCGCCTCTGCATTGTTGCTCCCAGGTTCGCGAGATGTGCTGCCCGTCTTCGTGGGCACACCATAGAATGAATTCCCGCTTGTTATTTGTCTCCCTGATTCATCAGCTCCTACCTTATTTGCCGCACCATTACGTCCCACCAAGTCTCTCCGATGACCGCCCGATATGTCCCGATCAGGAACTGACTGAGGGACCAGTCCCATCCTTTCTTGATTCTGGGAAAAAAAAATAAAATCAAAATATAACATTGTATACCGGAATTGAGAACATCAGTATCTGCTGAACATACCTCCTTGTAAATAACTTGTTCCTGCAAATGTTTAAACAAAACCTGCAAAGGAGAACTTCTTACTATGGATCAATCCATACGAGTAATTTCTTAGAATCAACATCACCAATCCAGTCTAAAACTAAACGAGCATTGTACTTTGGAATGATATCAAGTTTACTTTTTGCGAGGGAAAATCAACTGACAATAACTGAATCGATCCTAGTCCTTGGCTCCTAGCAAGTTAGTTTTGTTGATAAAAGCAAATCATAGAATATGTGTGTGTAAGATAGAGCCTAATGAAATTTAAAAAAAAAATTGAAGAATAAAAAAATGATTATATAGAGCCTGAAGGAATATGAATCGGCTATGACTTATACATTATAATGCGGCTCCTGTAATTTTTATCTCATACTGATTGACTGATTCGGCATTGCATTGCATCCATAATTAAAAAACTGTATAATTCAATGTCTTCTAAAATTTGTGTTATATTTCGAAGTCACCATCAGTGTGTGTATATATATAGTATATTGTGTTAAACCAAAAGAGTTGCATATTATCAGTCTTTTGTGTTCTAACTTAGAACACAGCCTATTTTGACGAACATTGAGATCACTGTTTTTTTTTTTTTGCTTGAAATCAAATATATTAGATTAATATATTTATGGTCTTTATGTCATCCTACCAACATTGCAGATGAGCTTCGGATCTATCTACTCTGACCAAGTGTAAAGGGTTTGTGAGACCAGTGCATTTTATAAATTAATATATTAATTTCATAAATTTGCAATGAAAATATATTAATTAATATCTGTTAAAAGACGAAAACAGTGAAAGGAAGAGGCCGAAGTGGGGGGGGAGAGAATGACCTTGATATTGCTAACAACGGAGGGTGCATCAGGAGGATCAGGTGGCTGGAAGGAGTATTGAGCGAGAAGAGGCAACAACGTTGACATAAATGTTAATTTTTCTTCCTCTGCATTCTGACACAACACAACATAAAAAATTATGCTTGAATTATATATTTTAACTTTTCCCAGCTAAATTTTAAAAATATATGATTCAACTGTTAAAAAGATATATATATATTTTTGTAAGTGATTTTTTAATCTTAAAAAATAGAATAAACTTATATAATAATTTCAGTGAAAATTATAATTCTCCCATATTCTCTTTTTTTTTTTTCTTACCAACATTCTATATCCTTGAACTTGATATAATTTTTAAAAAGTTGCTAAAATTGCGAATGCAAGAAATTTTTTTCAAAATTTTACACAATTTTTTTTAAACAGAAAATAACTTGCCCAGTTTTTTTAAGATCCTGTTAAATTACATATAACTCCGTTTTATGTATTAAAAAAATACACATAGTTGCCTTTTAAAAAATATGTAATTTCAAGTTTTCAACGAAATTCAAGAGACATAAGTGTAATTTACTATTTATTTTTAAGATAAGTCTACGTAAATTTAAAAATAATGCCTGATTAAGCCAAAAAAAAATGCGTTTTTTTTTTTTTCAAAGCTTAAAAAATGTCCATATTCTTTATATTTATTTGTAGAAGTTTATGCAAATTTTGAATATATATATATATATATATAATTTTGCTAAATTTACAAAAAAAAATGCAACATATATATTATTTTAAAAGAAATATGCATAACTTTTAATACAAAACGTAAGCCTAGTTTCAACGAAATTTAAAAGACAAATAATACATAATATTCATTCAACAAAAAAAGCACCCAACTTCAAAAAAAATAGAATGATTTTACTACTCTATAGTCTTTTTTTTTTTAAACACAATTACTCTAATTGTCTTTTGAGTACATATTAATCGTGTCTATAAGCATTGAGTAAGGAGTAAATGCATTTTTTTTCATAACGTCGGGAAGTGTAAATGCATATTTTTAACAAGAACTGATGACAGAAAAGTATGTTTTTCATCTCACCTAAAAATAAAAATGAGGTGGAAAAAGTAAAGGAAAATTCTCCACCAATCTCTTTAAAGTAAAAAATGGTAATTTGATACAGTAAAATGTGATAATAACAATAAGATCTCAAAAGATTTTTTTGAGATTAAATTTTTGCATAAAATTACTTTAATACTCTTTTATAATTTAAAAAGTTGAAATTCGTTAAATGTTTTAATTATTAGTGGAACTAAAATTTCAAATATTTATACCAACAATATAAAATTGAACTTTGCTGATAAATAATTGTGTTTTTTTAACTAAATTTGTGAATACTTATGCCAAATTTAAAATTGTTGATAGAAAATTATAATTTCTTAAATTATTTTAGTTATTGGTAAAATCTAACTTGCCAATATTTATACCAACCTTATAAATCATATAAAATTAATTGTGGAGGAGTATTAAAATAATTTCATACACAAATTTAATGGATTATGCATTAGTTTTGTTTTTAAACTATATAAAAAAGGTCATAAATTATGAATCAATTTTACTCTTCAACTTTAAAAATTTTCTTCTTCATCATCCTATTATTTTTTTATAGTTAGTAGGCCAACATTATATTTTTTTAATATTTTTTATTATAAAATATTTGAGTTAAAAAGTAAGAATAACTTTTAACTTGATAAAAAATATTAAAAAAATAATAGGGCATACTGGTAACCGATATTAAATGTTTTTATCATAGAGTAATAATGGAATGAATCTTTAAACATTAAGAGATAAAATTAATTTATAATTAAATTTAAGAGAGTTCATGCGCTTTCTTTGACAAAAATCACCCTTCACTCAAATTTAATCAAAGAAGTCTTGAAGATTTCACAGTGATTATTGTCATTTATTATCTGTCATTTCATTCTCCCAAGAAAGAAGCGCGTTAGCCATTGATGTGCAAAGAAAATTGAAATTGATACTTTCTTAGCAACCAAACAAGTAGGAGAAAGCAGAACCTGCAAGGCATATTCGAGATGAATATTCTCTTCAATAATTTGCTGTCTGTATGACGAAGCTTTCGATTCTGCATCTTCTAGGTTTTGTTGCCGTTGATCAAAGACCTATCGGACACAAATTCCTATCATAACTAACTACATTCGCAGGAATCAAAGCCAGATACGTTCAAGGATTTGACGCCTACCGCACGGATATCTGCAATTCGCTTTTGCAAATCATCATTTTCATGGCGTATTTGTGCTTCCTACAACAAAAACACCACCAAGTTACATGTTTTGACAAGAACGAAATGCATAAAGTATAAACCCTATTTTACCTTAATGGAATAATCCGCAAGACGTTTCCTTAGCTGCATGATCTCTCTCTCATTCTCGCGAATCTTTGCGACGAACTCCTAAATCAAGAGTTTCAATTTGAGCGGTTTTGATTAGATCGATTCAACTAAAAATTGAAAGGAATTGGCTTCGAACAGCTCTAAGAAATTGAGATTTAGTACCTGGTTTTCTGAGTTATTATTAGACGTGGATGCTTCAGGTTCCGCCATATTGAAGAGAGATTGAGCTTATTGCTGATAAAGAATAAAGAAGAAGCTTCATCCCAGGCAGGTCTTTCTTCCATTGACTCGTCTCTTGCTTCGTTGAAACCACCAGATTTGTACTGGTGATTTTTTATTAAAAAAAAAATAATCGCCATTGACTTGAGGGTGAGGGTGAAAATTATCATTTATTTGTGCTAAAGGGGAAGAAAAATTTGTGGAAATGAATAGAAGCACAATGGCATACGACAAGTTATGCATATTAATTTCTCTGTTGATCTTGAAGACGACACTTTTAACCTCTTGGACTCTGTTTTCTTCTTCTTCCTATTTAACTATTATTTATTTGCTTCTAATGGCTGGTCCCGCTTTCCCTTGTCTCTTCTTTCTCATTCTTCTCTCTCTCTCTCTCTTTCTTGTTTTAACCCTTAATGATGAAGTAGAATTTTGGAAAACCACACATACGTTTATGCAGTTAGTTGGGATGGAAAAAATATTTTAATCACTTTGATATATTGAAAATCTTACGGCACAATTTTCATCCCTCTAAACATTGAAAAACAACAATCGTCATTCCCTATATTAGTTTCAAGGCATGTTCTAAATATAAACACTTCTCATTTGCTTATAACCATGAACTAGATGCTTCCTCCTCAATTATATTCCAAGCACAAGACAGTGACAAAAATTGCATATAATCAATTAAGTAAGCATCTAAGTACGCATTTAATTTTACGCTAGAAGCCATCAAAACTATGATTTTTGTTGTTGTTCATGTGAAACCAAACATACTATTAAGTCATCATCTAATGCTAATGAGTTTGAATCTCAAAATCCTAACATATCATATGCTATCCATCACTTTCTTTTTAAAAAATAGAAATATACCAAAAACATGAATGCAAAACACTTAAAACCACAAACACACAATATAGAAATGAAATGTTTAAATAATGGCTTGTATATGAAAACAAATATGCAGCACGATTTATAGAAGTCAATTAGAATATTGTGAATGTATTTTCCTCAATTGAATTCATTGGAAACTGTACAAGAAGATTAAATAATACAAGACCTAGACAGGTGGATAAATACTATTGGTCACACAAAAGAATGAAAAGAATATTATATAGATTGTTGTATAGAGGGATAAGGATAAAACAAACTTACAATAACCCTAATTTGTAATGGACTTCTTAGTGGGTTTTGTGGTCTTAGGCTTTGTCTTTTGGATTATATCTCTAACAGCCACCCTCAAACATAATGGGGCTACAGCCAAACCAAGTTTGTCTCTCAAAGCAAGAAATCTTGATGAAGGCAAAGCCATAATGAGGCAATTTGCAATTTGGTCTTCAGTAAGGATATAACTGACAGCAAGTTTCTCGGATATAATTTGATCATGAATAAAATGTGCATCAATATCGATGTGTTTTATGCAAGCATGAAATATTGGATTTGATGCTAGTGATGTTGCACCCATGTTGTCATACTAAATGATAAAAGGTCATTTGAGAAATAAGGATAACTTTGATAGAAAAGACCTGATCCAAAGAAGTTCTGCAAAAGAATTTGCAAGAGGCCAGTATTCTAACACGGTGCTTGACTGTAAAGAATCTGCAGTCAAGGCCCACTGCTCATTTACTCAAGCCCAATAATAATAAAGCCCAATCCTTATCTGAACCTAGTGTTAGATAATGCTCACCGTCCTGTATAGCTTTTCTTATTCTTTATTCTTTATATTTTATTGTATTAGAGTTTTACCCTATCTCTATAAATAGTAATGAAATTCATTAGGGACTATGCACCTCTTATACAAAAACCTACTTTTACAATTGTCCTGTCTTGGTATCAGAGCCAGTCTCTGTATCACTGCCATGGCTGACGAGACCTCTTTAACATCACCAAAAATACCCTCAGCTTTACACTCCTTACTCATATCTGCTCTTAACCTACCCAAGACGTCTGTAGGCTCTGCCTCTTTATGTCAAGGGTGCTCAATCAAATTAGATCACACTAATTATGCTGTTTAGGTCACTCATGTTCTTCCAACTATTAAAGGTCACAAGTTGGAAGGTTTTATTAATGGAACTAATCTCCACCCTTCTTAGTTTATCACTGAAGATGATGTTACGAAACCTAATCCTGCCTTTAAGGATTGGGTGGCAACTGACCAGTTGTTGCTTGGTTAGCTTCTTAATACCATGACTCTTAACATTTCTGCTGAGATGACCAATGTTTCTACTTCTGCTAGTTTATAGAGTGCTAGTAGGAACTTGTTGGAGCTAGAAATAAGTCTAAGGTACTAATGTCGTGAGCAGAACTCCAACGAACTCGTAAAGGATCAACTACTATGCAGGATTATCTCAAAAAAATAAAGACTCTATTAGAGAGTCTTACACTGGCTAGTAGTCCTGTATCTTACTCTGACCTACTTCTTCAAGTTCTTGTTGGGTTAGATAGTGAGTATAATCCTATTGTTGTTCAACTTGTTAAGGAAGAAGATATAAGTTGGATAAATTTTTGGGCTTCATTATTGACTTCGAATCTCATCTGGAGCAACTTAATCAGCTTGCTCAACTTAATGTTTCATCTCAATTTGCCAATCTAAGTTTTTCTGAGTCCTTTTCTGTTTCTGGCTCTTCTCGAGTTGGATGTGGTGGAAGAAATAATGGAGGAAGAGGCCACTTTGGTTGAGGAGGTAAAAATCTATTTGTGCTCTATGTGAGAAACTTGGACATCACGATAAGAACTATTTTAAGAGGTTTGATTGCTTATTTAAGCCTCCTACTCACAATAAAATAGTTTTTGATGGATCTAGTTAGAACTCAATGTTTTATGCCTCTCCAGAGGTGGTCAATGATGATTCCTGGTATTTAGACAGTGGTGCAACCACCCCTATCACCAATGATGTTTTAAAGCTTGATCATGTAATGCAAAACAATAGTAAGGTTAAGTTATTTACTGCTAATGGTTATAAAATGGGAGTTGAACAGATTGGGTCCTCTAAAATTTAGAATATTTCTGGTAATAGTGTTGTGCTAAATAATATTTTATATGCTCCCACAGCTAAGAAGAATCTTATTAGCATTCTTAAACTATCTGATGATAATGATGCAACTATCTCTCTAAATTCTCAACTTGCTCTTGTGAGATGATAGGGGATAAGAACAGTGCTGTTACAAGGGGTAAGAAATGAGGAGGGACTCTACAAAGTTGATGCTCGAAAAGTTAAAGAAAGTTTAAGGGATTCAAAAGGATCTCAACTAGTTTTTTCAATTTCCAAGAATGTTGACAGCACCTTAATCAATAGTTCTAAGTCTTTTTTAACCAAAAAAACTTTGACATTATAGGCTTGGTCATCCTAATGATCGAATTTTGCATCAAATTCTAAATTCTTGTAATGTCAAAGTCAATGAGAATACTAGACCTTTGTTTTATGAATCTTGCAAGTTTGGAAAGTCTCGTTTTCTTCTATTTAAAGTTTCTATCTCTCATGCTTCTCATCCCCTTGATCTTATACATACTGTCGCACCCGGAAAAATGCGATGCGGACGGCACGCGAGCGGAGGTCCCGACCTTCGCGGCGGGGACCGGATCAAACGAGGAGTCACCACCAAGATTTTGAGGTAAACCTCGGGAAACTGATTAAAAGGAGGATAAGGGTAGTCTGCGAAAACAGAGAATAGGTTTGAGAGTCGGTTGAGTGTGGGGAAGGTGTTAGGCACCCCACAACACCAATTCGTCAGAACGGTTACCTGAAGTTTATTGTGCTATATTAATATGGTTTTTTAATTATTTTAATTATCTATTTTATATTCATGTGTTTTAAAAAATGATAAGAATTAAGTGACAAATGTTTATTTATTTAAGAGGGCGGACGGACTTGACTCAGAATTTGACTCTGAGGCCTACGTACTCTATGATGGGGATCAAAATCCATGTAGTTCGGGCTTGAAAATTGTTGGTGAACATATATTTTTTGAAGAGAAATTAATTAGAAATAATTCACCATTTTGCAAATAAAACAATTTCTGAAATTTTGATATGTGTGTTTTAAATTGCAAAAGGTAATTTAATTTTAATTATTTTCTTCATTTTTGAATTTTTAATAAAGAAAGGAAAGGGTTTAAAATTATTTTTCTTTATGTTTTATGATTGAGAATTTTAATCGCAGTACCTGCAAGACCTTATTAGTTCATACGGTAATGCAATTGCTCTAAATATTTGCGGAGATTCTGAAATCTCACACGATAAAAGAGTTTGGCCATTTAATTTATTTATTTATATTATTATGTATATCTTTAAGTGTTAATAATAATTTCACTTAAGTATGTATATATGTTTTTAAAGAATTTTAATCATTATACCTGTATAGCCTTATTGACTTATACGGTAATATGATTATCCTAAATATCTGTATAGATTCTAAAATCTCACACGATAAAGGAATTAAATTTAAATACGTCTTTAATTTAATTAATTTAATATGTAACTTATATATATATATATTTTAAAAACTTAATCGTTATATCTGCAGAGTCTTATTGACTCATACGATAATACGATTATCTTAGAAGTTTACGGAGATTCAAAAATCTCACATGACTAAAGATATAATTGGTAAATATGGTTACAACTTAAATTCATTAATTTGATTAATTAATTTTTCTAAATTGTATTATGTGATTATTTACAAAAATTATTTATTTAATATAGAAATTGAGAATCACTATATCTACGAGGACTTATTATCCCACACGATAATGTGATTAATTTAAGTCTCTACGAAGATTCTTGAAATCTCACATGGGACTTAAACATTTAGTATAAAGAGAGAGTTAATTTCAATAATGGGCAGTATATACAAATTAATAATCGCGACATCTGCGATAACAAGCAAGAAGAAATTATGCAGGGCATGTAAAAGAAGAAACCAAAACACTACAATATGATAAACGCAAATAGTCATAATAGAAATTATAACTATAATGAAATGAAATTCCAAGGCCACTTGTAGCAAAAATTATCACTGCAATTATAACAATTGTTTCATCACAATCAATGGGGACATAAAACAAATTAATAATTGCAGAGATAGCGAAATTGAAAATAATAATTTGTGACCCAGAATCATGAAGTTCATTATTTGAAAACTTCAAAATAAAATGGCATTGAGAAACCATTAATCTGAACCTCCATGAATAATCAATCAAAGTTCATTAGAC